GAACCTTCTGTGTCAGAAATGGAGCCACTGAGACCCAGACTGATGTTCAGTGCCACGACAGGACTGACCTTGCTTCCTTTTGCCTTTCAGGTGTGGAGCTGACTGAGGAAAGCCTTCAATACTCAGACTAAACCCACCATCAAACCCAGCGACTTCTTCCCATCCACCCCAGCAACCCTTTACCTTCCAATCAACGACTTTTTATCATCAAAACCACCGACTTCTTACCTTCGATTACCTGACATTACCAATATTGACCATCGAAACTTAAAATTTATTATCAAAACAATTACCATCGAGACAAAAATCCAGTCATAAGTGGTGCTTAACATTTCTGTACAGATTTTACCATATAAGAACTTTTTTTTAGTTTTTAACTTGAGACTTTCTTTTTTAAAATATACTTCTAATCCAAAAGGGTGAAAACTTTTTACAACTGCTGAACATTGTAAATTACCACATAAATATCTCACTGAGGTGAGATAATGCCCTGGAATAGACCATCTCAAATGCTGCTTAATTACAGACTCAGGTTGACTTTATGTTATTCATGTAATGTTACTCCAAGTTAAGACATCTGGTGCAAGAGCGACCAGGAAGTATAAAAATTGCAACTGACAGTCTGTATATTTAATTTAAAGACTTATTTAAAACTTCACAAGTTTTGCAAGAGCTTCATTTTTATTTTTTTTTTTTTCTGTGGTCTGACACTAGAAACTAATTTACTTCACATTTGAGTTATATTCAATATCTGAAGAAAATCTTCTGGTTTTCAACATTGTGAAACAACGAATATGCAGTTCTGAATGTATCTCTCAAGACTATTTGTATATTGTTCCATATGTTTTTATTACATTTTCTTAATATACTGTCATTTGTCTTAAGTCTCAGTTGTCTGTTTTGTCTCTCTAAAGTGTCTAGTTACAGACAAATTCATACTGTGATTTTTATTTTTATTATTAAATGCTATCAAACTGTGATGCACTTATTATTCACTGGTCCTGCATCAGGAGATGAGTGGGGAACCTGTATTAAATACAGTTCATCTGAATAATCTGTCTGGTTTATACAAGCTGTGTTGTTCAGAGATGTCTAAAAAGTTTGATCTTTGTTTTTTTAAAGATAAAAAAAAAGCACTTGCCCCACTGTAAATATATAGCATGTAAAATTTATATAGTATATAAATACAGCAAAGTTAAAATGGATTTTTTCCTGGAGTTTTACTTGAGTTATTTCACGTGCACCGTGTCCCGGGAGCTGGCAGAGCGTGGCCGATGCTCGAGGAGCCCCATCTGCCTCTCGGGGTAGGGAGAAGATGCCGCTGGGAGCCAGAGAAGATGAGTGAGTGCCCTGGGACGAGGATGCAGCCGCCTTTTCTCCTCAGAACTCAGAAGCTTCCCCGGCCAGGCACGGGCTGGGAGCTCAACTGCAGCTTCTTTAGTGCGTGTGACACTAAAAAAGCAGGAAAGGAAGGAGCGAGGTTAATGTGTCACTACAAACCTCATCTCTGGGTCCATGGGGAGCACCCCATGGTTAAAGCCAAACCAACCACGAGTGTACCTGCGTAATGTTCCTATGGCAACGGTTCTGTGACGTTACATAAAGTAACATGGCGAAGTAGCCAACATACCTGTCCTGTATCTGGCTTTTTTTTCCTCTTTTGTCCTCTGGCTCCAAGGGTTGGTGTCTTGTCCTTTGTCTGATGAGTAACTCTGGCATAAAATGTATCAAAGTGGTTTAAGTGGTGACTCTTGTGCCTCGTTCAGAGCCCCAGAGGCAACATCTGCCCGACCCGGCTCTGGAGCAGCGCAGGGAGAGCCCTCGGTGACACTTCCTGAGAGTTGAGGAGCAGCTTCTTCTAATTGAGGAAACTAATTAATCTACTTGAGGAGAAGAGATCTGACCCCTTCCCTTTACATTTGACTGAAACTCACCTTAGGGAACTGACAAAACACCTTAATTTAGGGTGGCTCTGAAGGGAAACCAGCTGTGAATGGAGTGACAGTGGCAGCAAACGGCACCTAAACAACCTACTGAGCAGCTGAAGGGGCTGCTCTCTGAAAAATTAAACCTGGTCATTGAAATTACTGTGCCTCAAGGCAGGGAAAAGAGGTCTTTTACTTAAAAGAGCTGTTGTAAAATTAAACCTTAATCTCTAAAGAAGAAGTCAGCAATTGCCTCCCAAGCATTCCTGGTGAATGAGGAGATACATAACAGTACAGTTTCACACTTTATTTTTGAGAAAACTGACAGATTTAAGCAACAGGTCTTAATGATAAATGAAAACATTAATATTGCAGTGGCTTTACATAAGAACATCACATTTTTAACAGTGATACAGAGTATTTGTCATGCAAATCACTTGTGTACACCAAGTAATACTTATATCAATACATATCTGTACAGTATTTACATTTTATATTTAAACTCTAGCTAGAAACATTTTCCAAGAAAATATAGAAATGAAACTGGTAAGCCACAAGTCTTAATTTGTAGCATTTGGTCTACAACAGACCTAGCTTTTCCAGCAAGCATATCTACATAGATATGTAATAAATCTTAAAAATATGCAGTTTTTTTTATATATGAAGCATTATAAATGCTGCTCAGTTTACAAAGGTTCAGTTTTGTACCAGTTGAAAACGGTTCAAAATGTTTCAGTGATGCTGAGCTTATTTTGTCAGAATATTGTAAAATTTAAGTCAGTCCAGCTGAGCTTAAGTTTTATGTACAGTTCTCTCGCAGTTGCACTGGCAGTGCCCAGCGGGTCACACGCTGAGCATGGGGCAGGAGCAGCCCTGGCTCTCGCTGCCCCTGCAACAGCAAAACCAACAAGGCTGGAAAATTACCCAAGTTTCAGTGCAACAGGAAGGGAGAATCTGTTGTCCCCAAAGGACTTTTCCTCAGCGTGGCCAAACTGTAACAGATCCTGCTTTAGGGCACGTGCAGCCACTCTCAGCAGCCACCCCTGGACTTGAAGCCCAATTAAAAAAAAAAAAAAAAAAAAGGGAAAGGTTGAGAGATTTTTCTTCACCCTCGTGGATAGTACCTGATACGGCCAAAATTTTCACAAGCCACTTTGTTTTACTGGCCCCGTGGCCAGTGGAAATTTTGGGCCAGTTTCACTCCCTGTTAATACTGTTACAAGGAACTTTTGAAATCAAATATTAACACACCCGAGAAGGCTGTTCCCTTAGCTTTGGTAAATTAAATAGATACATTGAGCACCACAAGTAGCTGTTTAAGATGTTGCATTTAATGCTAAGAAATAATGTATTTCCTGCTATAATACCCTCAGTTACATGTTACTCTAAATATTTACTTCTGCAGGATATAAGAACTTCAAACTAAATACAGCAAATGAACTCTCAAGGCATTTCCTTCATGCTCACAGGCAGACATCCTCACCTGGTTAAAGACACAGATTTCCTCAAAGGTGACATTTCAGAAGATAAGAACTGATACAAAAGTGCTTCATGGCTTGTTCATGCTTTTGGAATCTCATGTTGTTCCTCCAGAAATACTTTATTTGCTGCCTCTCACCTTTCTGCTCACCAAGTACCACTGATTGGCTTGTCACTATTTGCATTACAAATCTACTTGTCCAAAGCTAAGGCTGATGGAAGCAGTGCTGGAAAACAAATCGTGTCATTGCAGAGTGGAAGACTCAAAACAAGTGTTGGCAGCAGCTCTCTCGCTGTGCTGCTTCGCAAACACGAGACACACAATTTCTGTAGAGAGCTTAAAATGTGTTCCATTAAGCAAATATATCCCCACACTGACACTTACTCAAGGATTCTACCTCCTTTGGTTGAGTTTTACTCCCTTGGAAGCACTGGGATTTGAACATTCACCCAAGCAATTCCACCCACTCCAGGGAAACTCGAAGGTGGAGGAAAGTTCACTTTGTTCTTTTCCTCTCGGCCTCTCTTGCAAACATGCAATAAAAGCAAAACACTCACAGGCTGACACCCCATGCAAAACAAGGCAAATCAGTAAGACAGAACAATGAAACAACTCTCCCTTGCAGTTCAAAGGAGATCTGAAACAGATCCACTCAGTGAGTCGGGGGGTTTGCCACAGCAAAATGTGCAGCACATTTCCCTACACCAGATGCAGAGATGCTCCTGGAACTCCAACAGGCAAAACTGCTTCGGCATTTCGGGTCTCCAAAGCGGTCACTGGCACAGTAGGCACGGCTCAGGTTCAACGAGTTTGGGAAAAACGGGGTATAAACAGAAGCAGTAGGGTCAAACAAGCCACGTTTTGCCTCTGTTGTGCAATCAGGGGCTTTACCCTTAAGAACTGTGTGTGTGCTCTCAACAGAAAACACTGGAGTACAATCTGCTGTAGCAGCTGATGTGTCCCTGAAAGACCCATCAGTAGGACCATAAGGATCTTCCACAAATTACAAAAACAACAGAGGGACATGTGCTTGTGGAGGAGTCTACCTGCACTAGGTCATCCATTTATTTTTTAAGTAAAAATAAGGATGTGTCTTCATTTTTTTTAAAACATCAACTGCCGAAGCACAGATTTGAAAAAGTGCCTCAAAGAATGCAATAAAAGTACTGAACTTCTCTGTATGTCCAAAGTTTGTTATCAAGCAAAGGAATGAGTCCTGCTTGCTTAACTCTCCAGGGCTGCATCCTACAGAAAGATTCCACCTTCCTGGTTTTTCCCCTTGAAAAACATGAAATGCATGTGAAATTATTTTGGGGGTGTTTTCACATGCAAAGCCTAAGCTCCCTCAAACCCTGTCATTCCTTTAATACTAACTTAGTGTTAATTAAGCCACAACATATCTAAAACATAAGAAGGATGTTACTGTATAAAAAGCAGATTAAACCAGTCATTAAACCTCAGTGCTTACTGTGGGTATGAGCAGACAGGAATGAGTTTTAGCCGACTGGCAAATCTCAGAGCACATCTGTGCTTTGTGTCTACAGGCTCAGATTTGGCTGCTGGGACCTGCCTGTGCTTCAGTGCACATCAACTGTCAGCCCTGAACTCCTTCCCTCCCGACCCAAGTCAGCTGGAGTTGTAACTAATACAAATGAAAACAAAGGCTTCCATGTTTTCAGTTGAATTCTCTGGGATTTGAAGCTTCCTTCAAATTATATGCCAGTAACTATTTACCCTGAAAGGTCTTACCAAGTTTTTATGCCATAATAAAGTGTATATATATATATAAAATTTACAGTAATTGTCTTCATTTAGTTTGTCCAATGTTTACATGATGACTCCACTGTATGCTCATTTACAGGTTGCTGCAGGTCTCCAAGTCACTGATTGTGTTCTATTTCTTGTTTGCAATCCTTCGTTTCCTTGTTGCCAGCATATCATAGAAGGGATCCCTGCTGATACTTGCTCTGGAAGCAAAAAAAAAGGAATCATCAGTTTGGTTAACAAGCACCTGGTTTTGAAAACTGAAACTATTTTGTTGTCTCTTCCTGTGGATGAGTCCACATTTTTAATAAGATAATGGATGGTTGATTTCTAAGCACCACAAATACTTCTTTAGCAAAAGATGATATTCAGCTGTGATTTGTTAGGAGTTCATATCTCCATCTGATTATTATTTATTTCTTTAGGTGTGGGCCTGTTTATAAACTTTCCAAGATAAAGCCAAGCTGTGACATTTTAAAGCTGCCTGTGAACACACTTAAGATACCAAAGATAATGATTAGGGAAAGTAAGAATCCAATAAAATTAGGTTTAAAGACAACTCACACAAGGCTTTACATCTGCCTAAAATAAACAAATCTGTATTTTCCTCATTTGAGTTAGCAGCACTATTTCCTAAGGAGCAGACAGTAACAGGAAAGTTGCATCTTGATCCATCGACCCCACGGAGCTCATGATTAATCCCAGAGGACACTGCCACAGCAGAGGCCTTCAAACAAGGCACAACAAATTCTGTGAGCACCAAACTCTGAAAAGAGTTCTGAAAGACATTTAAGACTTTAAACTCACTTGATAGATTTAATCCACTCTTCCTTTTCTTCTGGGGTGGGAGCAGATATTCTGTACACTACGTGGTTGCCTTCCACCACTCTGCCATCAGCTTCAGTTTTACAGGCTTTAATTACCTGACCTTTATGACTGGGGTTATAGAGCTCAAAGCAGTTCTGGAAAGTAGAAATCACAAAATAAATTAAAAAAAAAAAACACCAAAACCTGACAAATATATTCATTTAACAGTACAATTAAGTTCTACGTGGTTTACTTTTTTTCATTAAAAAAAAAAACAACAAATATGAAACTATCTTACTGGTTTTCTAGGGTCTTCAACTTCTCTTATGCTAAGATTTTCTAATGGAATAATTCCTCTAGGTTCTTTGTCCTAAAAAAAGTTGGGAAAAGATCACATTATTAGCCACTTAAATATCCTGATCACAAAGGAAATGCACCATGTTTTATACTCACTGTCGTGTACTCGAAGTAATACAGGCAATTATCAGTCAGAATAAACCATCTCCGTTTCCATGTTTTTACTCTTCCCCCTACAATCAAAAGGTAGGCTGGAATTAAACCTGTGCTGCTGTCAAGGCTTCAACAATAGGCAAGGAAATAATTTAGTTTGGCTTGTTTTTTTCACAATAGGGTTTAATTCCCGAACGGTAAATGGATCAGGCACAGGTGGGAGAGGTTAAAGGCACACGTTGTTCCCGCAGCTCTTGTCCTGAGGCAGCGCTAACCATGGTGGTGCTGAGCAGCCACAGAGCCAGCCCTGCTCCCTCTGGCCAGGCATCTACGGGGGTTTTGTGCCCCCAGAGCATGAACACACACAGTGCTGGGCACAGCCAGTGCTGCAGGGCCAGGGCAGGCTGAGTGAGGCCAAAACACCCCCAGCCACCCCCTCACACTGCCAGTGGCACTGCATGGATGGCCAGCAACAGGACCAGCCCCTCCACAGCTTGTCTTGGATGAGGAAATGGTCCCATCAATCAAATTAAGAGATCATTTTGTCACCTTCCTGTCAATCCACTCGTGAGCAAACACGTGATTAAGAACTTGACTCTACTTTCAGATTTAAGATCGAGAGCAGAAGATGCTCATAAACATCACTTACAGAACAAACATGATGGGTCATCAATTAGGAGCAAATCCTAAGCCAAGACATACCACTTCTAGTCATTTTTCAGAATTTTAAAAACGTATTTTTATGGGTTAATATATCATTGAGTACACCTGACAGCAGACACCTCTACGGCTCCGAAAATGCCAATTTTTCCGGCATTAACAGTTTAGACAGCAGTAACCACAGAGTTCTTCCTTACACATGTGCTGTAGGGAACAGTTCTTTTTTAGGAACACATTATTGTTTTGGTCCCCTTTCAGTTTTTCTGCCATTGGCTGCTTCAGAACATGTTTGGTTTCTCCCAGTTATGTTAAAACTCATTTCCAGGAAAGAACTGTAGGTAAAGCATTCACGTGTTATTAGTATACAGGTTTAGATCCACCATAGTTATCTGACTTCAGGATTATGTCACCACCTGTGCATCATCCATTCAGCAGGGATTTAACCTCTTTAATTGAACATTTCAAAATAGTTGATCTTGCTGTTGAACACCCGTGCAAAAAGGAGCACCATCGATACACACAAGACACCCAGTTTAATCCAAGTCATATCACCAAATTTAAGACAAGAGCATAATTTTTTTAATCTTTTTTTGTACTACTTGAGATAGCTGGGGTTTTGTTTAATACAGAAATCCAAATCATATTGAATTAAAGAGCAATTCTAGGAATGCCATGACATTCCTGGGTACCAATCTAGTGCATATTTGCATTGCAGATCAAGTATGTTGCACGTTGTATCTTCCTTCTGCTTGGTTTCACAACCTACAGAAAAACCAGTGCTAACACACTGCAACATTCATTGCACTCAATAAACTTCATGTTTCCACTAGATGGACACATATCTTAAGAAAAATTTAATCTGCAAGCAGGTGTGGTGAAATAAGAGGAGGCAAAATAGTGCAAGATGCAGAAGCCGTGACACGATGAATGGTTGAGTGAACTGGAGACAGTGAGGGAAGAACTGGTGGCATTTTAGTACAACCACTGTGACAGATCCTTAAATAAAGCACTGCAGAGACATTCAAACTGGCACGTAAGTCACTAGAAGAATTCCCATCACCTTGACCGAGAGCTGGGTCAAGTACCAGGAAGTATTTGGGTTTGGAATGACGAATCTGAGCTTGACTCACTTCCAGACCAATGAATAAGCAGCTGCCAAGTCAAGGCCACTGCCAGGGCACTCCTTGTGATCCCCACAACATGCCACGTTTTCATATAACCCACTATTAACTGCCGTGACTTCAAGTCACGTTCTGCCCTCTAAGGTTAACAGGTTAACACCACTTAACATTTGCACAGCCCTAAAACATCAGCACGTGTTTCACGCTAACAGGTAACATCAGCTATCAGAGGCCGTGGCTTGCCCAGGTCTGGTAGAGAAACAATTCAGGAGGAGAGAGGATGAAAAGCAGGGAAACACATCACAGAGCAGCTTAAACTGAGCAAAGATGTTTCTCATAAACCACCATGTCATGTCAGAACACAATAAAAAAATCAGGTAATACCCAGATATTTAAAAGAAGGCCTGCTTGTAATTTAAGGCAGAAGCGATGGACCTAAAACACCTCCCAGAACAACATGAAGTGCCAAATAGTAAAACACAGTTTTACTGCTGTGGTTCAGTGAGCTCACTGACATTTTTCCTGACAACATCCCCTCTCTCTGGAAAAGCCAGACTTCTCAAACCTGAAACCTTCTGTAATCATCAAAACTGCAGCATGAAGCTTTTGTCCTGAAACATTCCCCAGCTCCAGGACAGTATTGATGTTGAAGCCAGAAGGAAGATTGAATATTTCCACCACCACCCCTCTTACTGCTCCCTTCTGCCTAAAGCAGGCAGTAGCTCCCAGGGTTACAGCACTCCAGTGAGTCATGGAAACAGTCTCTAAGTCCCTGCTCCACCAAGCTATGAGTTAATCCTCCAGAAAAAAAAAAATAAAAATGTAAGCAGTAAGGCAGGATTTTTTTGCAGGATAAGGAACTACTCTCTCATGTCAGTCTCTGTCTCCCCACCCCATTACTTAGCTGCAGCTGTCAACAGCACAGAAACTCTAATAAAGCTCAGAATCTAATCTGTACTAATCAAATTTGCAGAGGTCACCATATAACACACAGTTAATATGCCTTTCCAATGGGCTGCAGCCCAAGCAGCTGGTTGATGAGGCGCTGTGGCCCGTAAACTGCACACAAGATTAATAGGAAAGAACTCATGATAACAAAACATTCTTTTCCTTGGCCAGGATTGCTGTAGGCTCCCAAAACAACAACAAAGGGGTTAGTAACATCCTTCATCTCTGACTCCAGCTGCCAGCCTCTCAGAGATTAAAACTGGAAGGAATTAAGTTAGCAGAAGAGGATCAAGAAAACCAGAGGATGAATCCATAAACATTTACAGAAGCGGAGAGATAAGTGCCATACTTCTGAAAGATCCAGCTGATTAGCAAAAATGCACACACATCTCAAATAAGAAACTAGAGAAGTACAGTGTTCTTAAAGGTGAAAATCTAAGGGAACTACAAGAAAAGGCCACAAGGCAAAATGTACAGAAAGAGGAACAGAAACCCTCTTCACCTTTGTGACTCAGCATGGGATTATTTTTTTTTTCAACTCTGGGCAAAGTACAGACTAAACAAACAAGGGAAAAACAACAGGCAATGACTTAGGAAACACAAATCCCCAAAGTAAAAAACACCTTAAGGCTTAAGGCAGTGACGTATCTGAAGAAAGAAAATTCTGCCCAGATCTTCAGCTCATTTATATGAAAGTTTTAGAGGGGAAGGAGAGAGATGCACACACAAGAATGTGGTTTTTCCTTCTCAGTTCACTTTTAGACACCACGAGGCAGAACAGACCCAGCAAGTTGACAGTTATGCAGATGACTGGATTGAAGTTGGGGTTTCTTTTACAGCATCCCTTGACAGCACTGCCTGTCTCAGCCTGGGAGGGCACCGGCCTCCACCGGGGCCAGGCAGGTAGCGGAAGGCCCCAGTTTCCTGATCAGCCACCACTGCTCTCCCTGCCCAGATTAGGGAAGAGAAACAACATCCTCTCGAGGACAGATGTGCTGGAATAAGCACCACTGGCGGGACGGGCCCGGATGTGCAGCTTTTGGACAACCTCCAAGCGCTCTGTAACCTCCTGACTGGCAGAAAAAAACGAACACACTCGTGTGTCTGGCTCGAATCGTTTCCTCTCCACTTTGGGGGAATAATGTCACAGTTTCCCTCCGACTAGAAGAAAATATTACACAAGCTGAGCAATTTGCCCAGACAAGCTGCTTTAGGCATGGAAAAATTTCAAAATACCTTAGAGTGGATGGCAGAAAATTTCATGGTACCAACACCGCTCGTAACCACCATGTAGAAAAATCTGAAATCTCAGGATGTCTCACACTGCCTCAAGTGAGGACTCACTAGCACTCAGCAGATCTCAGTTTTTGACTTGCAGCATTCATTTTCATTACACCAGGCTGCAAACCATGCAGAATTGGATGATAATTTAGGTCTACCAAGATAAAGACATCTATATAAAGGCACCAGCTAAGTCGAGATAGATAAAACCAGAATCGCTGTCTGGCTGCCAGGTTTGGCACTCAAGACTTACAGGGTCACCTCTGAACAATCCAGAGCAGCAAACCCTCCAAAAGCATTCCACACCTTCCCAGATTCCTAAAGCCCAATGCCAGGCTCAAGGGCCAGGGGGGTCTTTTGGACACGTGATTTTACAACATATGGAAGTTTCACAATACCCATCTTCTGCCCAGAGGAAAATCAATGTAGTGAGAGATGGAATACTAAAAAAAGGGGCACAAGGAGATAAATGGGAAGAGCTGACTGTGAGAAATACCAGATATAAAATACTGTCTTGATATACTCAGGGTCTGCACGTAGTCTTAGTCATGTTTATAGTTTTACATAAAACTTTCTGTTTCAACTTTTATGGATTATCACAACTGAGCACTTAAGCTCTCACACAGGATTAGTCTCCTTAGCATTTCAACAATACTGAAACTTTTACTCTCAGAACCTTCCAGAACTGAAGGAAACTCGACCCATTTCACAAGAAATGTTTCCCAACAGAAAGGACTGTAAAAATGCAAACAATGTGGATTGAGACAGCACGCTCAACATACAGTTTAAGACTCCTGGCAAATAGGAAACTCAAGGGAGACAAAAGAAAGAAAGGAGCAAAGGAAAAAAAAAAAACACAACCTGCCAGGTTTATTTCTGGTCATTGCAAATAAACTAGCAGTGGATTTGTCTGTACCAGTCTGTGTCTGCTGAAAAAAATGCAGTCTTTCACGGAAGCAAAGCTCCAGGCATTTCCAGGCTGATTCACCAGAGGCTTCTGGACACATTTCATTTCTTTATTCAAATAACCCTCACGCTGTGGGAGTGTTACGTGTAACACCCTCCTGTTTCACACACCCTTTTACTACTGGGTTTTCCTGTGCACTGGCTCTCATCTACCTTGTACACACTGAAAACTCAGGCAGAGTTTTCAGCACTGACCTCTGGTTTACTGACCTTGCACCAGAGCCAGAATGTGCAGAAGTACCTGGCAGCTCTCACTCGTTTCCAGCCATCGTTTCCTCAATTTCTTTGTCCCTCTGGTTTTTATTAGATCTCTTTTATGTCTGTAATGACAGTGTTTTCCATGAGGAGTGCTGTCACTCCTCTGCACACACTCCCATTTGATGGCACTGTGTAGGTATGTGAGAGAGCACTGGCAACAGAAATAGGCACAGCATGGGCTTCTACCCGAGCTCTTCTCTAGGAAGCACATTCTATCTACATCAGCTTGAAAAGCTATCAACTCACACTATAAAATGAAGAAAAGCTGCAAAGTCATGTTTGAAACTGTGCCAGCGGAGCCAGTGCATATCAAAAAGCCACAGCTTTGCTCTTCTGCAGTTAGGGAGACAAAGAGCTCCACAGCATCTGTAGCACAGAGGTCAAAATGCGACACTGGAGAGCACGTGAATGAATTCCAAATGCTTCCTTCTCACATCCATTTCCTTCCAGCACTACCATGACCACTGATTTCCAGGTGCCATCAGCAGAGCAGGCCCAAGGCTCTATCCAGGCTCCACATTCCCCATCCTCCCCATGTGCACACATCCCCTTGCACACTTCAGTCACCACTCTCCAAGTGCAAAGTTTCTTACCACTTTAACAAACACTTAATACATTAAAGTGGCCAACAATTGGCTCTACTGAGTGTGTACTAGTGTTTAAATAAGTTTATTGCTTTGAAAAACAACTATTTAAATGTCAGTCTCCTTTATATAGGAAAAAAAATTCCCCAAGGCCAAGTCAAAAACTGAATCACATCAACTTTAGGAGTCTGTAAACAAGGGCATCTTGCAGTGCCAGGAGACTGAACTACCGGGGGTTTCCACGAGCCTCAACCTGAAGCTCATTTAAGACTCTGTTCAGTAAGCTGACTGTGTTATTTACAGAGGAAAATAAACAGGAAAGAGAACAGTTTTTATAAATACATAGTTCAAATGTAATCCGTCTTTCAATATTATCACTGATAAACAAGCAACAACATCACTCTGAAACTTCAGGACAGAGTAAGACTTGTTTACTCTCCACAGAGATTATTCTGTCCTTGTTGTGTTCTTCCATGAATAAGGAAAGTATGCTGAAGTCATCCTTATTTTCCTGCTTTACATGTAAACACTTTCTTCCTCTGCAGAACACGCTCGCATGTGAGTTAAAACACTGACATGCCCATCTCCCAGAGCACCACTGATGACACTGTTAGTGACACTGAGTGAAAGAGCAAAATGCTACAACAAATCTGATTAAAAAAT